CAGGTTTATGCACCTTACTAATCGATCCGTGACTGCTTTCCCTCTCTGTCAATCTCTTCACTGGCTTCCACTAGCCCAACGTATACAATTCAAAAAAACGTATAAAGCCATTCACACCATATCCCCAGCTATATCACCAACCTCATCTGCAGATATCATCCAACTTGTCTTCTCCACTACTCCCAAGATGTCTTTCTCTCTAGCTCCCTTGTTACCTCCTCCCACATTCGCCTCCAGGATTTTCCAAGAGCCTCGACCCTCTTATGGAAGTCCCTACCCCAGTATGTCCAGTGAGCTCCTACCCTGCCGGCCTTTAGGTGATCCTTGACCTGTGTGCACCAAGCACACACAAATACGTGGCTTTTCGGCCGCTGGGCCTTGGCGCTGAGAGGTCGCATATTTGCATACCTAATATAAACAAAGAATGTGCTCAGAGCGTGTGCCCTGCCAGCACATTTACCACAGCCTCATGGAAAGGTCCTGATCGCAACTTGAGTTTGCTAGATTTCGATCATGTGACTGCCATGACAGCCAATCATGATGGTCACATGACCCTAAACCCTGCCCCATCTCCTGGCATCTCAAATCCCTTAAAAGGTCAAGAGGCGCCAGCACCAGGGGTTAAAAACTCATTTATTCAGGGAAACCTACCCCACCTCCACTTAAAAAGCCGTACTTGAGTCACCTCCATCAGATCATCCCCTGCAGCTATTATCTTTTGTACCATCTCCCCCACCCTTTAGATCAGGTGTGTCAAACTGGCGGCCCACCAACTGTTGCAAAACTACAAGTCCCATGATGCCTCTGCCTTTGGGAGTCATGCTTGTAACTTTCAGCCTTGCAATGCCTCATGGGACTTGTAGTTTGGCAATAGCTGGAGGGCCGCCAGTTTGACACCCATGCTTTAGATTGTAAGCTCCATGAGCAGGACCCTCCTATTGCTTCTGTATTGAACTGTATTGTACTGTCCCCCTGTATATTGTAAAGTGCCACGCAAACTGTTGGCTCTATATAAATCCTGTATAAGAAATAATAATAACACTATAGTAAATGTGAAAGTCACATAATGAATGACTCTTCAATAATAGCTCAGAATACATTATTTTCTTTAAATCTGGCACAAAGAAATGTGACTGCTCTAACTGTAATGCTGTAGCAAATATTAAAAGTTTTATAATGTCATGCAAAGCAACAATGAGCACCTGATAAACCCCCAAAATTACCAGACTTAATTGACTGTGGAAAAAAACCTAATTATTTGCTTAGAACTACTGCTTCTTAGACCATTAAAAAGGCGTTTATATTCCTAATCAAACAGTACAGACATATAGGCAAACTGTTATGACAACAGTCATAAAAGTCTGCATTGCATTAATGAAGACAAGTGATTTATATTAATTATCCAGCGCAGAATCATTTATCTTTTTGCCCAGTGCTGCTATCCCCATGATGGTGATAATGGTGGTTGCACAGGAGGTAAGAGGCTTCTAGGTAGACAATGAAATAATTAGCTAAATGTTTCCTGGTGCTATGTGATGGGAGCAATAATTCACACATGAAAGTGATGAAGTAGTGAACAGTTAACAAATGAAGGCACTATGGCATGTACAGATGAGTGACCGAGCTTGGTGGTAGGTAATCCAGATCGATGTCAGATATCAACAGGCCTTCCACGGAAATGAAAAATTCAATGTTTACATTAGTGTGGAGTATAGAATGTGTACCCTGACCCACAGACCTTATCATTTAAAAGAAATAGCTACCAGGTCGTTGCTTTTAAGCAAACCTGTCATGCAATTTTGAAAAGTTAGCATTTACCCTACGTTCACACTTGCGGATTTCAGTGCGTTTGCCAGTTTGCAGAAACTCCCTACAGTCCATTTAACATGATTTCCTATGGATCTAGTTCACATTTGTGCGTTCTGAACTGGTGGGTTTTTTGGAAAGGGTCAGGGACTTTTTTCCTGCAGCAGATTACGTTTTGCATGTAATAGACTTCAATAGACCTGCATTTAAATTGCAAGTGTTGCGTTTTTTTCTGAGTTTTTGATCCGTTTTGCTTTTTCTTTTCTTTTTTCGCAAATAGGAAAATATTGACTTGATATCACTTTAATGTGACTTTGGATGGGTGTGACTTTGGGGTGCAAATTTGATGCATCTTTGATGTGACTTTACACTCTTTGGCACTCAAGTAGCATCAAAGTCACATCAAAGTAGTGCAGGAACCTTTTATGTGTTCAACGTCGCATGTTATGGTTAAGGGCTAGGTGGCATTGCCACCTCATCCCTTTAAACCCGAACACATATTAATTACACATTTTCTGTGGCTGGTTATGTTGGTAATTAAACTCACATGGTGCCTTATCTGCACATTGCAAAACGCAGAAAAAAAACGCAACACTTGTGTTTTAAATGCAGGTCTATTGAAGTGTATTATTATTATTATACAGTCTTTATAAAACGCCAATAGTTCGCTCAGCTCTGTACATTATAAAGGGGGACAGAACATGTGCCAGAACAATACCAATACAATGCAAAACATGAGGGGATTGAGGGCCCTGCTCTTTCGAGCTTACAATCTAGGAGGGAGGGGATGGTGGCACAGGAGGAGATAGCTGTGGGGGATGGAGTGTTGGGAAGAGTGGAGGAGGTCGGTCAAGTTAGCAGGGGGTGGGGTAGGCTTCCCTGAAGAGATGGGTTTTCAGGGTGCGCCTAAAGGAGAGGAGAGTAGGTGATAATCTGATGGGTTGGGGCAGGGAGTTCCAGAGGATGGGTGAAACCCTGGAGAAGTCCTGGAGGCGGCATGGGAGGAGGAGACCAGGAAACTAGAGAGAAGGAGGTCTTGTGAGGAGCGGAGTGTGCGTGCTGGGCGGTACTTGGATATTAGGTCGGTGATGTAGTTCGGGGCAGTATGGTGGACGGCTTTGTACGTCAGCGTTAGGATTTTGAATTTGATCCGTTACGCAATCGGAAGCCAGTGGAGGGATTGGCAGAGGGGGGTGGCGGAAATGGAGCGGTTGGAAAGGTGAATGAGTCTGGCAGCCGTATTCAGGATCGACTGAAGCGGGAATAGCCAGCGGCGAGGCAGGCCGGTGAGGAGGGAGTTGCAGTTGTCGAGTCGTGATATGATGAGGGAGTGGATGAGCTATTACATGCAAAATGTAATCTGCTGCAGGAAAAAATTCCCTGACCCTTTCCAAAAAAACCCACCAGTTCAAAACACACAAATGTGAACTAGTTCCATAGGAAATCATGTTAAATGGACTGTAGGGAGTTTCTGCAAACTGGAAAACGCACTGTAATCCGCAAGTGTGAACGTAGGGTAAATGCTAACTTTTCAAAATTGCATGACAGGTTTGCTTAAAAGCAAAGACTTGGTAGCTATTTCTTTTAAATGAAAAGGTCTGTGGGTTGGGGTCAAGGGCAGACTGACAACTCATGGGGACCCGGGCAATAGGAGATCATGGGGCCCCTGTGTCCTTGCCCACACTTAAAGCACACCCAAAAAAGCCTATAAAAAAAGGTAACGGGCATTTTATGCGGCCCCCTACTGACCCCAGGCCCTTGGGCAGTGCCCGACTGCTGGAATGGTCAGTCCGCCCCTGGTCGGGGTACACATTTTATACTCACCTGTGTAATTAATGTGTTCAGGTTTAAAGGGAGGAGGTGGCACTACTTTGATGCATCAAAGTCCAAAGTGGCATCAAAGTCAATACTTTCCTATTGGCATAAAAGCCCCCAAAACGCACTGTGAAATCATACAATCTGCATAGATGTGAACCTAGCCCAGTGTTTCTCAACTCCAGTCCTCATGGACCCCCAACAGGTCATGTTTTCAGGATTTCCCTCAGATGAAACAGCTGTGGTAATTACTAAGGCAGTGAAACTGATCAAATCACCTGTGCAAAATAATGGAAATCCTGAAAACATGACCTGTTGGGGGTCCATGAGGACTGGAGCTGAGAAACACTGACCTAGCCTAAAGCCCCATTCACACCTAGAAATTTGGAAACACAGGTAAATTTGGCACAATTCAAATCACGCTAAAATCGCAGTAAAACATGTAATGCTTTTGGGTGCCACCCATTCCTTATAGAACCCCAACTGTGCTGCTATTTTGCCATAATTGTTATGCAGCAAAACTACCAAGAAATCGCGGGAAAATGCGCATGAAAAAAATCATGCAAAGCTTGTTGCCCAAAAAGGTGCAGGAGCTTCTTTTGCACAACAAATGCATATAGGGGAGCCAATTGAAATGAATGGGCTGCCTTATGCTTGACATGCAAAAAACGTGTGTAAATCACCCCCCAAAAAATCACAAGTGGAACGTGCATTCCCACTACATGAAGTGTGAATGGGGCCTAAAGCTAAGCTCCAGGCAGATAATAAATGTATGGATGAAGGTAGAGTTGTATTAATGTATGCCTTTTATATTAACTTTACTTTTTTAATGTAAGCAGGACCGTCTTTAACGCAGGACAAAAGGGGCAGCTGCCCAGGGCCCAGTCATTGTTGTGGGGCCCAAAGCAGCTGCCCCTTGAGCCTGCACTGCCCGTAAAAAGTAGGCTGTGGTTGGCTTTGGAACTGCTCATGCGCACTTCCTTAAGCAGCCCAAATGCCCGCTGAGAATGGACTCGGGCTGTGCGGCAGCAAGGGGTCCAGGAGGATGTGTGCTTGGATTTCTCTCATCTTGAATTTCCTGCCTTGGTGCTTCATCTCCTCTTCCGAGTCCCAACCAACCACTGCCTGACTCACCATCACATGACCTCCACAACAGCTAATCACTCCATTCCGCCCTGCCCTCCTCTATGCTGGGAGTCTGGGACCTGTCATCATTGTCGGTGCCACACAAAGTAAATAACACGTATGGTATGGGAACACAGACCTGTTGTGCTGATCAGGAAGGACTATGAAGAGTGTTCAGCAGACAAAGTGCAGGGATAGGAGATCAGACAGTACATGGGGCGGTACAGTGAGCAATATACAGGGAGGTGCAGTCTCTGACATCTACATTCTCTTGTGGTACGCTTGCGATCTTTGACCCTCTCCTGTAGTATGTCCGCAGACTCTGACCGTCTCTTGTAGTATGTCCGTATTCTCTGACCCTCTTCTGAACCATGTCTACAGTCTATGATCATTTCCTCTATTGTGTTTGCAGTCTCTGACCGTCTCCTATGGTATGCCTGCAGTCTCTGACCATCTCCTGTAGTATGCCTGCAGTCTCTGACCGTCTCCTGTAGTATGTATGCAGTCTCTGATTGTCTCCTGTAGTATGCCCGCAGTCTCTGACCGTCTCCTGTCGTATGCCCGCAGTCTCTGACCGTCTCCTGTCGTATGCCCGCAGTCTCTGACCGTCTCCTGTCGTATGCCCGCAGTCTCTGACCGTCTCCTGTCGTATGCCCGCAGTCTCTGACCAACTCCTGTCGTATGCCCGCAGTCTCTGACCGTCTCCTGTCGTATGCCCGCAGTCTCTGACCGTCTCCTGTCGTATGCCCGCAGTCTCTGACCGTCTCCTGTCGTATGCCCGCAGTCTCTGACCGTCTCCTGTAGTATGTATGTAGTCTCTGACTGTCCACCTCCACCAAAAAAAGGAAGTTCCACTTTAAGGACTGGTCCCCAGCTACCTGTTAAGGCTTGGCACCTTTGGGGAGCAGGTACCCGACATTGACAGATACCTGCTCCCACTTCCGCTGCGATCACCTAGGCAATCAGAAGCGGAAATTGTTCCCCTCCCCTTAGTCTTCTGGGACACATGATAGAAGACTGCGGGACCATTCACAAAGTGCAGCACTACTCACGCATGCGCAGAGAGCACCCGGCTGTGAAGGTGTCACAGATGAGTGCCACACTTAAGATGCTGGCGCTGGGAACACAGGGCGACCGGTGAAACTGGCTATGGAGAGGACACCAAGGGACAGGTAAGTGGCCATTTTTTCAGAGTCAGCAGCTACTGTTTTTGTAGAAGCTGACTTTTATTTATTTATTGTCACTGGAACTCTGCTTTAGTCTAGGTTCACATCTAAGCATTTTCCGCAGTGTTTTGCAGATACACACTACAGGCCATTTAACATGATTTCCTATGGGACAGGTACACATCTCCATGTTTTCACCCGGTGCGTTTTTTTGGAAAGGGTCAGGGACTTGTTCTATAGACTGCAATGGAGAAGCTGCAGAAAAGCATGTAGTGCATTTTTGCTGCATTTTTTGATGCATTTGCATATTAATCTGCCTTTCAACCAGAAAAAATAAAACAAAAAGACGCAAAGTGCATCAAAAAGACGTGCAAAAACACAAAACGGACCCCAAAAAGCACTGCAGAAATGGATAAAATGCATAGCGTTTTGTGGAAATGCACAGCAGTCCAGTTAACATGATTTCCTATGGAACAGGTTCACATCTTCGCGTTTTCACCCAGTGCATTTTTTGGAAAGAGTCAGAGACTTTTTTTAAACGCAAAACATTGCGTACTTGGTTCTATAGACTTCAGTGGAGAAAAGCATGTAGTATGTTTTTGATGTATTTTGATATTTGGTTTTGCGTTTTTAATTTGCCTAGCAACAAGCAAAAAAAAAAAAACATTTAAAAAACACAAAATGCGGCAAAAATGCATGTGAAAAAAAGCAAAACGCACTGAAAAAAGCACTGCAGAAACAGATCAAACGCAAACTGCATAGATGTGAACCTAACCTAAAGCACAGTAGAGAAGCAAGAGTATTGATTGCTGTCTGGAGGTGTCTAGACTAGTTGTCATAGGTGAACGTCTTTCATGATGTGAAGGCCTCATGCACGCAGGGCAATGTTTAGCCCCTCTGCAAAGGTGCAGTTTCCTGGATAACATTAAAGTGCTTGTAAACCATCTCCCAGTAAAGTGACTGGCCTCAGGTGACAGACACAGATTAAACAAATCCTACTACATAAGTTGTACCTGTTTATCTACAACAATCTTTCCCTACATCCATTCAAAGGAAGTTAATCAGTCAGGAGAGCTCTGAGAGCTGATTGGAGGGAAGGGACACACCCCCTTCACACAGCACACAGGATCAGAGCTGAGGCTGTCAATCACAGAATGTGCCCTCCTGTCAGCTTTTTTCTCTTGGTGTCAGAAAAACCTTAAAGAAGTGATTCACGCTCATAGCAGAGGAACGAGGCAGCAGACAGCAATGACATTTAGTGCTCAGGACTGAGACATGTATACACTATAGAGGGATATGCTTTGCACACAGTTCATGTCTGAGGTTTACAACCGCTTTGACTTGCTTTGTTGTCTGGCATTGCTCTCTAAAGTTGAAATTTACTCTCAATTGTTTTGCCTTTCCTCGGCCTTCATTTGCCCCTCATCAAAAAAAAGTCTCTTTTTATTACATATCTTATTTTAGACTCAAATCTATGTGCTTCTCAATCAATGAAGAGATCATGGCTGTTGGGAGGGGTTGGCAGGGAGTGAGAACACCTACAGGTGATGTTGAGTCTCCAAGACTACAACTGAAAATCCAATGAATGAAAATGGCAGCCCACGGACAGCTGAGAAGAAAAAGGTCTAGATGATGCTGAACATTCTCCAGGCACTATCTGACTTGCTGCAGCTTCTAAAGTCTCTAATGCACACTATGAGAAGCTGCCAGTGTGCAGTGAAATCAGAGGAAGCCATTTCAGTACAGGATAGTAGCCTGTACAACAGTAATACACTAAAGGTAAGGCTGGAGCTTTAAAGTGTTACTAAACCCACAACAGTAAAATCAGTCTGTATATGCAGTAAAGCGTACTTGTTATACTCACTGTGGAACCTAAGGGGTTAATCCTCCACATGGTATAAAAAGGCAGTTTGATCCTTTCTTCCCTGTTCCTCTCCTTTTTAAAGTGACTACCTCTTATCTCCTGATAAGACAGACTGAACTGTAGCCATTTAGCACATGCTCAGTCTGGTGTGTATTGCTAGAGAGGATTTTTTTTTTCTTGGGAGGGTGCATGTGATCAGCACAGGGCCTATCAGCACTGTCCAGATAGAGGTCAGGGGTCCTGCATTCTCCTAAAGCAGAAAAAAAAATTCCTACAAGCTTTAGCTAGTGCTCTGCTGAACACTAATAGAAGTCACAAGATTGCTAATTACTGCTGATGAGAAAAGGTATTTAGCAGTTTTATATTTACTAAAATAATTGCACTTGCATGTTCTGTGTACTGTGGGAGACTAGATATAGTGAATGCAGGGCCCTGGGTTTAGTAACACTTTAACATTCATTTTCAATATTTTTGAATGCGTATTAGAACCCCTAGCATCATTTCAGTTCTGTCCATCTTTTAATTGGGAAGCTTTGCTTTCCATTTCCTGTGACACCAGAATGAGTAACAGAGATAGCGGGGTCACCTGGCAGGGAGTGACAGACAACAATACATTTTTTTTCTGTATTTTCCCTAATCAGAAAATAAACTATTTCTCTATCCCCACCTGAGAGATTCCTGTCACTTCCTGTCCATCTGACTCCAGTCACCAGGACAGGAAGTGACTGGAAATCTCCAAGATGTGGACACACAGATAAAAAAAAAAACATGGCAGAGGGTCTAATTCTTTCCTACTCTATTGAAGTAATAAGGGAGCCACAAGTCTTGAACACCCACAGGGAGTAATGCATGTATTCCATGTTATCAAAACGTTATGAATTCTGATTGACCGTATCATCTTATCTCCAGTCTTTATGAATCAGCTCCTTAGTGATGTAGAGGTTCTCCCGTGTCACTGTATATGCGTCATCCTGTTCTCCACACATGTACTCGTATTCTTGTCATCTATAATTGATGCAAGATATTGTAGCTACTGTACAGTTTCTTGCTAATTTATCATTTCTATATTTCTTTCATGCATATTACATGCAAAAATGAGCCAGACATATTTTTATAGAAGAACAGAAAAGTTTATTAAAAAAATATTAAAGTATAATGAGCATGTAATATGGTAAGTATAATCACTTTTAGCCCATGATCTTCCTGTTCTCCAGATCCCTTTGACTTTAATCAAGAAGTCCATGTCATGAATCATACCCATATATTAGCTCCCATAAAGCTTTAATTTTTTTTTTAATTATAATATTATAATTTATATTGTTAATATATACAGTCCTGTGCAAACGTAGGCAGTTGTGAAAAAATGCTTTAGGTTAAGAATGCTTTCAGAAATAGAAGTGTTAATTTATTTTTATCAATTAACAAATTGGAAAGTAAACTATTATCGCCCTTCAAACCAACACCAATTCTTCTAGCTACACTTGCACACAGTTTTGAAGGAACTCAGCAGGTAGGTTGTTCCAAACATCTTAGAGAACTAACCACAGATGTTCTGTCTCTTCATGACATCCCAGACAGACTCGATGTTGAGATCAGGGCTCTGTGGGGGCCAAATCCTTACTTCCAGGACTCCTTGTTCTTCTTTACTCTGAAGATAGTTCTTAATGACATTGGCTGTATGTTTTGGGTCGTTGTTATTCTGCAGAATAAATTTGGGGCTAATTACATGCCTCCCTGATGGTATGGATTAGTATCTGCCTGTATCTTTGAGCATTGAGGATACCATTGATCCTGACCAACTCCATTTGCAGAAATGCAGTCCCAAACTTGCAAGGAACCTCCACCATGCTTCACTGTTGTCTGCAGACACTCATTATTGTACCACTTTCCAACCCTTCTGAGAACAAACTGTCTTCTGTTACAGCCAAATATTTTAAATTATGATTCATCAATTCAGAGCACCTGTTGCCAGTTTTCTGCACCACAGTTCCTATGTTTTTGTGCATAGTTGAGTCACTTAACCTTGTTTTGAGATCAGAAGCATGGCTTTTTGGCTGCAGTTCTTCTATGAAGACCATTTCTGGACAGACTTCTCCGGACAGCAGATAGGCATACCTGGGTCCAGGGGCGGAATGACAACTCATGGGGCCCCTGGGCAATAGGGGATCATGGGGTCCCTGTGTCCTTGTAGAATATAATTAATTCAGCTTAAAACAGACGTCTGTATTATTCATATCTCTGACTCCCCTAAGTGACATGGAAAGTCACTTTTGCTAGTGTAAATGTAAACCTTGCGTGTGTGATGGCTTTGAAAAACAGGTGTTCAGATAAACCATGGTATATTAATGGCTAAGAGGTCAGCAGGTCATAGGCTTCGCTTAAGAATAGATCACTGATATGCAGTAAAGAGCAAAGAAAGAATATGTCATTTCTAAAGAAAACCATGTCTAATCCATAATATACACCCTGTTCCAAATTATTATGCAAATTCTATTTCAGTGTCACAAAGATTAAATATTTTGTTTTTCAGTTTAACTCATGGATGGCATTGTGTCTCAGGGCTCTTTTGATCTCTGAAAACAATCTCGAACACCTGTGATAATTAGATTGGCCGGTGAGCCCAATTTAAGGAAAAACTACTAAAGGAGGGTGTTCCACATTATTAAGCAGAGCACCATTTTCAAGCAATATGGGGAAGAAAAAGGATCTCTCTGCTGCCGAAAAGAGTGAAATAGTTCAATGCCTTGGACGAGGTATGAAAACATTAGATATTTCACGAAAACGTAAGCGTGA